AGGACATATTTTATGTCAGCAGCAAATATATCTGAAAATATGTCGACAGATTTGCCATACATATTACGTCGTAAAAACCCTTTTTGTTAAAATGTAGCTAATTGAGACGTAAAGTAACATTAACAAAAATCTATATTAGAGACGTATTTTGGTTACTTACTCAAATCTAGGTTTAGTTACGTTGCGTTATATCTCAATTGGTTATACTTTAAGAAATTAAAGGGAAAAAAAAAACAGTTGAGGCGTAACGTTGCAAATTGAAACTTTGTTCTTTTTTCGTGACAAAGTCACTAATTGAGACGAAGCTTTACATTTTGAAATAAAAATAAAATAAAAGATGGTAGTTAGCAATACGGCAATGATAAACAAACATTTACTGCGTTATCAAGTTCATGTACATAATATTTAATAAAAACTAGAGAATGTAATCTTGTTACCAATTGTACCAATTAAGACGTTACGTAACTTTAAAATATTATAGGGGTTATTTGTTTATGTACTCTAAAGCGATATAGTTTTAAAAAAAAAATGTCATAAAATTCGCCTTTAAGCTAGGTATCAAACATATTTAACAACAGCAGCAACGTTGAACTAAAACCATTTTCAATTAGATTAGTAAGTCGGCAGTTTCAACAGGTTTCAAAGCCTAAAAAGTCTTCACATATTATGGATTCATTATCTAAATTTAAACCAGTGCTTTAAGAAGACCAGCTCCTTCTTGAAGTTGAGTTTATATTTTTTAGTTTATTTAATATTGAATTATTGTCATGGTTGTCATTGAAATTATTATCATGAATATGATAATAATTTCAATATGAGTATATAACTGTTGATGGTGGGCTAGATAAAAATCCAAGATATAAAAAACTATTCACTGTGCGAAGACTTATTTCAAAGAGCATGACCTTGATGGAATTTTTGTGGCCACAAATACTGTCGGAAGAAGTGTCTTAAACAGGGTAGAGAGAAGAATGGCTCCGCTAAGTCATGACCCATCAGGAGTACTTTTATTTGATTTTTTTGGATTCTATCTTAGTTCAAGAGGAAAAACAACAGACAAAGTTATGGAGAAGACAAATTTTGCCAAAGCTGGTGAAGTTTTTGCATAAATTTGGCCCAGCAGAGTCATTGATGGATTTAAAACTAAAGTCGAGTACATAACACCAAACAGTTAAAAATGTGTACAGTTAAAACATTTTGGAGCAGAGTAGGATGCTAAACATGTCAGAGAAAGTCAATACTTACTTCAAATTGTAAAATGTAATAATCAAAACTGCTGTGGTCATCGTTGTAGCTCACTATTTCATCTTATTCCAAATGGCTTTCTTTAACCACTAATTTCTTTGCTCCAAGGAGAAGATGGTAATACAAGATAAGATACAATAATACAAAGAACAACTTTGCATCCCTCTTTTTAAACTTAATCTTTGCAAAACAATTTTGCTCACGACAATTACAAAAAAGTATCCCAATGGATTGCCATACAACTACTCATGTCCAAATAATCAAAATTCCTTACAAAAAGAATTCGTACCAATTGCAGTTTATATTTTGCCACTATCAAATCAATGAAACAACACAAAACAGTTTGCTCAAGTATTAAATATTCGAATGAGATTTAAAAATTAGACCTCATTGCCTAGTTGCTCAAAGTCTTTCTGAACTCATGTGTGTATTTTTATATTCGGATAAAGAAACAATAGAGTGATATAACCCATGTGACGTCATAAGGACGTTTGGACGTCCAGAAGAAGTCTTACGGACGACCTCCGGACGACGCATGCCTACTGGAAATCAGGACGATGTTGATTCCTCCGACTTTAACTGGCCTTCAAAAATTATTGAAACGCATAAACTCCAATAATTGAAGGTCAAAGTCCAATTTGGGAACAAATTTGGGTTTTAGACAGATATTCTTTTTTTTCTTTTTTTTAAAAATAAACTATAACATTTAAAATAAAAACTTATAAAATTTTTTTAAAAATTTTATAAGTTTTTAAAAATATAAAAACGGCACGTATTATTTGAACAGCCCTCTTAAATTAATTTTATGTTAGTTAAATGATTATGTGCACATTATTGTTTATTTTAGATTTTACAGTATTTTCAATTTTATATTTTTTAGTAAGAACTAATAAAAATAAAACTATCTATTAATGCTCTCGCAACATTGGAAATGTTTTTTAACCAAAAATATAAGGAAAACTCCCACTTCGATTTTCACTGCCTCCATATTTAATAATTGTTGAGTTTAAGCGCCTTTACCCACAGTATAGTTTTATCGAAGTAGCGTGTACATTTTTTGTCAATAAAGCTTTGGCAGAATCTTCAAATCACCTTGAAAGTCTGCTTTATTTACAATGTAAAAAGCAAAGGATGTCTTGTTTAAGAAATCTGAAGTAAGTAACATTATATATTTTATCGACCTGTTCAATTACTTTTAATGATTTCATATTATGAATTTCTGAAAATACCTACATTCTTTTTGCATTAAATATCTATGTAGAGTTTAATTACTTGTTTATTACAAATATTTATACAAGATTTCAGTACAAACTTAGTATAAAAAAATTGAAAGCAAATATATATATACTTAATAACTTATACAGTAAAAGATTAAAGCTGAAAAGAATAAAACTCATGAAATAGTAGCTAAAAAGATTAAAATCAAATCTGTTTAGTTATTTTTATAGAATATTAATTATTTTAATCTATTATAACAAAATCTTTTAAAATATTTGGAAAATACCTGAACCAAATTAAATTTCTGAAAAATGTATATAATTAAAATTTAATTTGTTTTTTTTTAAGTCTATTAATCTCCTTGATGAGTTTAGGATATCTGCAAAGGTCCCAAGTTTTGTCCAACTCAACATTCACAGTATAACTCAACGTTCACAGTAGATCAGGGTGCGAAGTGATCAACTCTGATTTACGGACGAATTAAAGAGCTTTTATGCGTGATTGTTTGCATATACTATTTGTTTGACCTCTCTTCCCATCTTCTTTTTCACAAATGATGGGTCTTTTCCAAGAGATGCTGCTAAATAAAAACTTTGAAAAAAAATCAAAGAAGACTTGCTCTTATCTTGCTCATATAAACAGTTAACTAAACTTTATGATGTCTATAAGTAACGCTAGTTGTTTACTTTATTATTTTTTTAAATGTTTCATTTTATATTTAAGTTGTTATTTAAAAAAAAACAAGTTGGGATATAAATCATTCTTCGAAATAATTGATTTTGTAAAGTTTTGATAATTTATTTATTGCCACCTTGGTTTAAGCGGTTACATAAAAATTTATTAGTAGATTCTTATCATTGATATTAAAATATTTTTACAAGGTATATTTACGGTGTTTTAATTACTATTATGTTAAAATGATTAATGCTGAAAATATTTTGTAATATATATTTTATGCCTTACTAGTAATAATTACATTATAAGTAACTATAATGTTAGATACATCAAATAATTGATATTAATTAGATATATAATTTAGCAATATAAATGGTTAGTTTATATTTTACTTTTATAAAAACATGTTAAAAATTATTTTTAGCTTGAGTTTTGAATATAACGTCATATGATGACGATATAACAGTAATTTGCTTTAATTTTTACTGTTATTTAAATAAATATAGCGGCATAAGTTAAAAAATAACGCCATAATGACACAAAATAACACCGTTTATGGTGTTATATAGTGTCCCAATGCTATTATATTTTTAAATTATGCTGTTAAATAAAACAGCATAATTTTGTAGTGTGCAGTTGAGGATAAAATATTTTAAAAGTTAGTTTCACTTTGCTTCTACACCTCAGTTCATTAACTGTTTATATTTGTGCCTTAATATAATATAGTTAATTTTTTAAAAATTTAGCGTTGATAGCATGTCTATATTTTTATTATTTCTAAATGAATTAAAAACTGCTCTTTGATGATGACCTCTTTAAAGCTGTTGATGACCACTCAAACGTGTGAAAAAAATGTTAAAATTTCCGGACCAACTTATAAACCTATATATACAACTTTCCGCCTTATAGTTTTCCTTTATCAAAATCCTTTATATTTTTTTGATTTGCTACGTTTAACGAAAGATGGCAAACCGGATTCTTTATTTGGAGGCGACACGCTAAATGATATGCTTTGGTTTTTGCACGTGACCGTCCAAATTATTGTATCAGTGTGAAATGACGCAACATCCTAAAACTCATCTTAACAGTTTAAGTAAGCTTGAATAATATACTTTAGCTTGTATAATATAAAAAATACTTTTTTATTTGGAGTTTAAAAGTTCTTATTTGTAAAAATACATTTAAATAACTACTTTATATTGTAGTTTTTTAAAAATAGGAAATTTTCCGTAATAAAGAACAGCACATTTAAGTTCCATCATGCATTGCACAAACGTCCTTATACGAGTAAAGAATTTCTTTCTTAATATTTGTTCTGGAATTGAACCACTTGATGAGTCAATAAAGTGATAGAGTTTTCCTGATGGGTTGTGCATTAATACTTTCAAAATGACCATTAATACTTATAAATTGAGTAATTATAAATATTATGCATACTTTTTTGGTTCTTTGAATTTTTTTTTTTTAATATTATGTATTAGGAGATGAAAATTAAAAATATCCTCAATTTTGAGGGAGCATAACAATTCAAAATTAATCTGCAAGATTTTAGGTCTGCATTTTGTTATAAGAATTTAATTTATTGTTACTTGAGTTAAGTTACATATTCGGCCCTTTTACCCCAACTAACTTTTTACCCCGACCATTAAAAATTTATATAAAAATTTCTGATGCTTTTTATGTCTGAAAAACTCTAATCTTTAGAAACATCAAGTTATTGAATTTATAACCCATAACGTTAAAGTGATTAGTTTGTAGCTAAATTTTCCTCTTCTATTTATAACTTTCTATAAGTGGATTTAAACAATTTAGTTAAATGCTGTTGAGATTTCTCGTGTTGTTCACGAGTTCATACTTTCACATATTTACATAACTTTGTTAATAAAATGATGAACTGTTTTGAATTTATCTTTAAGTTTATTTTCAGTGTATTAATTACACATTGGACACACTGCGGGACAAATTATTTAATACCCCAAATTATGTTTGATCTTTATGACGTGAGTGCATTTAAAAATGGCGAAATCCGAAATGAAGACCCATATTCTGGAATAAGCATTAGTTGCATGTTTACTCAAAGTAAGTTAATTGCTATTGAAATTTTAAATGAGAATTTTAACACATTATCAATATTTTAAATTAAGTATTATAAATATTACAATATGTTTTTAAAAATCAATCAGGTTATTAAACTAATAATTGTTGATGAGGTTTAAAGTTGTCGTTTTTTCCTAACGCAGTTAGATTGTGTTCGTAAAATTTGGAATTATTTAGTTTATCTTCCTTTCTATTTTTATTTCTAACTTTCTATTTCTTTCTATTTTTATTTCTAACTTTTTGTACTTTTTTCTAACCAATGTTTTAATGCTTTTTTTGATCAATAGAACAGGTGTCAGTGTAATAAAATAAGCTTTACACTCAACTCTTTACATGTAGATCGTGAAGATTATTATAAGATACTCAAATGTAATAATATCGTCTGCTTACAATTTTTTTGATAATTATATATTAAGTTTTATTTATAGTTTAACAAAATAAATTATTTTTAAACTTGAAAAAAAATTTGAAACTTAACTTCTTAGTAACATTTTTATAAATTGAACAAACTTTAATGCAATTAATTTTTAATTGTAAAGCTTTTAAACTACCGAAACTTGCTGAAAATAAAATCCGGATATCCGAAATGTTAGAAACAAAAATTACCATGTAATATTTATTGAAAAAATATAAAACAAAACATTTTTAAATTATTTCGTTTAAATCTTCTTTGGAGTTATGCTATAAACATTTTTGTTTAGTCTGGGCTTCAATTGTTAAAATATTTGATAATAGTATAAATGGATGTGTAAAGTTGTTACCAGGGCCAAATTAAGAAAACCGGAAATAAATATTGATTCCGAGCCTTTTTTTAAAGTGAATTAAACTTTATCTTTTACACGATTTATTGTTTATCAGTTGAATACATTCTAAACAAAAGGAAAATAATTAATTAAAAATTTAGCAATAGAGTTTAGTTAGTAATAAATAAAGATTTAGCAATAGAGTTATAAATAAAGGTTTAGCAATAGAGTTAGAATAAACATGTTTTTCCAGTTTTTAAACAATCAAACACTTTATGTCACCAAAAGTTTTTATACGAGCTGGTTGACTGAAGCTGTGTTTAGCTTCCTCGACAGTATATGCAATTTTTGCAAAGTATTCTTAATCTAATCTCTTTTTTTATTCTTTTCTTTTTTCTGTTTTACACAAAATAAGTTTTTTAGATTATACTTTTCATCTAAATTTATTTCAAACATGTTATTAAAGCTTTTGGCAAAAGGTTATTATAAAATCTAAACCTAAAAATGAGATGCTAATAAATGTTGATTCTGCAAGTGTATTTTGTACCCTATAAATTTTTTGAAGTTTAATTTTTTGCGTACGTGCCCATGGTATATATTTTGCTTAGTTGTTAAAACAGTGAATTTAGCCAAAGCAGATCAATTTCATACTTTTCATATTAACGTATGAGCAAACTTAATACATCACGCAAATAGTTTTGATTTATCAAATAATTTTTGACTGAATATATTTTGTTTGGAGCAATTTTTGACTGAACATATTTTACTTTATTATAATATATAAAAATTCTTATTGAATCGTTAAAAAAATTTTAAAAATCAATTTATAAAAATGTTTTACTGATTTTTTAAATTACTTTAATTTTGAGAAAAGGTCAATTTAAGAGTAATTTTTAATTGCGTTTTTATATAAAACTAAATATAATTTCTTTAATATAACTTCGTAATCTTATAACCAAATTTGTTTTCGTACAATATTTTAATTTTAATGATATAACAGTAGACGTAGTTATACATTATTATTCTTTATAATATTTAATAGAAAACTTGATGAATTGAAATAGGGAGCTAAACTATCGCCCTATTTTCGAATCTTTATATCCTAAAGAGTTATTTTCTGGAATAACTGAAACAGGCTTTTCAATTAATTTATCATTTTTAAAAATTGAAAATTTCAATTTTTTGGATATTTTTTTAAAATTTAGTTTTGAAAGCTAAGTTATTGCAAAACTATCAGTTATGAAGCAATAATACTTTGTCAGTATTTTATATTTATATTATCATAATGATTAACTGCTAGCATGAATTTTAAGTTTGCAAACAAGAAGTATTTGAAGTAAAATTTAAAATAAAATGTTCATAAAGTTGTTATCTAGTCACGTGACCGTGTCAAGATGGCTTATTAAGCGATTTCTACCCAGTTTTATAAAGTTTTATAAACTGCCTACTACTCTAACTAAAATAACGGAAAGTTCACACGTGTCACAAATATTCCTACAAAAACGTTACACCCGAAGAACACCATACATTATGAATAAACGAAACCAAGATATTATTTTAAGTGCAAAAAGGTAACTTATGCGTCTAAAAGTGTATGAATAATACAGTATCGTCCACAATAATTTTCGTCGCGTCCATGATTAATTTTGTTGCGTCCGTAATTATTCTGTCGCGTCCATAATTATTTTCGTCGCGTCTATAGGGGAAGGTTGCATAAGTTGAGCATGTTTTCAGTGTAATGTATTTTGCTCCCAAAAGATTACAAAAAGATATATCTTTTAAGAATAATGATAATATCATTTTTCCTCTCAAACAATATAATTAAGTAATTCATTAAAAATATATATATATATATATATATATATCAAAAATTGCATTTTATTCAACACACCTAATCATTTCATCATAGGAAATTAGTTTCCTAAGATGAGCTTTTTTTATGGAACTCAAAAAAACTCAAAATAACAAAAAAATAATCACAAAAAAAAAATTAAATAAAATTGTATCTTCAAGGACTATACTTAAGTAAAAAGTAATTATCTCAACCATAAAAAAAAACAAAACAATAATAAATCTTTCCAATCTCTAAAAACGTTAATTTTACTATTTTTTGAAAAAACTCACGCTCTTGAAATACCAAAATAAAGCTCCTTGGAGAATAACTTTAAAAAAACGCGCTTTTCTTAATAAAAAACCCCATTTCATCTTGAGATGCGGTTTTTTATTAAGGTTTTTTATTAAGAAAATTGAGCGTCTAAAAACGTATCATCTTTAGCAACTTCATCAAGTACTATCATAATTTAAATAGCATGACAACGGCTTATGTATTATCTCATGTAACCCATGGAATTAGCAGTAGATAAGCATAAAATATTGAGGATGAAATAAGTTTTTGATGATATTTTTCGTTCTAACGTAATTACAAAATAATGAATAATAAAAAATTATAATGGGGATGGTAAATTTTTTTAACAGTAAAAAATCAAAGAATATTAACTATACAACCAAGAAATTAAATAAATAACACCGTCGAACCTGTACAAATATCCTTAACCAAAAAAGTTCGCGAAAATATCATTAGTCTACCCGTAAAAGAGGTTATATCATCTTAGGAACCTGCTCATCTTATGCAACCTTCCCCTAATTATTTTTGTAATACAAATACTTTATTTTTTAAATGTTTTACAGTAAATTAAGAGAAAAAATTCAAGCATAACTTAATCACATAAACTTATTAGGCTGAATTCCTTTTAACACCCAGTCATGCATTTGAGAATAATAATTATTAAAAGAATATTAGTTTTTAACCACACCAAAAAACTCCTTGATAGGATTTAGTTTAGGGATGTAAGGTGGTAAAAACTGGGTAGTACATTTATTTTCTCGAAATGCCAATTCTACGATTAGTGAATGGTGAAATTGCGCAATGTCCATTATAACAACATATTTTCGATCACTTAAAACTGCTTTTAAGTCTTATTTGATCCACTCGTTCATGCTAGCAGCATAAAGGACCTTAACTTTTTATTTTAAAACTAATACATCTCGTAACTGAAATGGCCCATATTAACCATTAAATTTTAACCATATTGACCATTAAATTTTTGATTAACCCATAAGAATATTTTAAAAGAATGATTAAAAGATATATTATTAGCACCTTTTGTTTTTTTCACATTTTGAAAAATTTGTAGTCATACTTATGGCAAAACTATGAATAAATAATTTAAGAAACTAACCAAAGATTTTGTCGTTTTGAAAATATATTGACGTTAACAACATGAAAATACGTCTCTATAGAGTACTAGTTTTATATCTTAAACATATAATAGCTTTATTTTTATTGATTATATTAATAGCTTTATTACATGTTGCTTAGAAATTTTCACATATATTTATTAGGGTATTCCAAAAAAAAATTTTAGAATCTAAAAAACCAAACCTTTAGAATTAAAGTAAATATGTTGAAATTAATTCCCAAAAAGTTTAAGCACCATTGAGTCACTCTTTCTTTTCCCTCAAGACATAATTGGGCAAAAAAAATACCTTAAAGTGACCAAAAACTGCTTGTTTTAGGCGTTTTGAGGGCAAGACAAATATAAACAATAAAAAAAAAAATTTTTTTTAGGGTATGTAAACATTTGATTAAAATGCTATGGTTTTTTTGTTCTATTTTGAAAAAAGTATAACTTGCATTTTAAATCGGCTAAAATTTGGTTATGACGCGGTATGGCGTTACTAATACAAATGTTATAACATTTGAATTTAAATATTTTTTTAAGTTTCAAAGTTTTCTCCAGTTTCATCAATTTCTAATTTTTGGAACAAGTCTTGTTTTAAAGAATGTTATTCAAATTAACGGAACTTCAATATATCTTTAAAATAAATTAAAACATCTAGGTTTCTAAGGGGATAATGATACGAATAAAAACAAAATTGCAATACTTAAAAAACAGACTTAAATGAGCGTATAACTCAGTTTCAATCGGTTGCAAATCGACAGTGGAATTCGTTTTTGCCAGCCGTCAACAATACACGGATTTAGAGTCTTAGTTCCGTTGCACAAGCTATATTAAAATTGTTTAGAAAAGTAAAAATTTCTAGAATTTGAGAAGATTTGAGGAAAAATTTGAGAAGCAGAATATGACATATTGATATTTCTTTGATATAAAATCTTTGACATTAAATTTTTGTAACGCTAAATATCTTTCCTAGCCAAATTTATCACTAACTTATGTT